CCCCCCCCCTTGCCCTCTGTGATGAATCTTTCGGGTCTCGATTAAAGTTGTCAGACAGCCTGCCGCTGATCAGGGCTGTTTTGCACCAAAATAGTGTGTGCGCACCGAAAAAGCACGCCGTGCACTGCATATTGAGCTTTGCACATGTGTACACGTTGCGTGCTGGTGAGCACACACCACAGATGGGCGCACGGCACCCCGCGCACTGCACCGGATGGTGCACCGCACAGGTGCCCCACAGCTATAAAAAAATTCCGCAATTCCAAATCGATTTTTATAATTCAGAGAATATGATTTTGAGGAAGTGCCTCAGGCTCAAGTTGCTTAAAATGACGTTTTATAAATTTATTCACAATACTATAAAAACTGCTAAACGTCATATTGCACGGCCCGAATTGCAGGCTGCTCACCACCGTGGACGGCGCGGATCGCAGGCTGATCAGAAAGTTTTCTGATCGGCCTGTGATCCAGGCCATCCGCGGTGGTGACCGGCCAGCGATTCTGGCCGTGCGACATTGGTTTGTACGGGTTGCTACCGGAAGCGCCGAATTGCAGGCCCACCCGGTTTTCTTCTCTGCGGTCCACCCCTGAAGCGGCCCACCCCTCCAATCCCCCTCCCGTCCGCCCGTTTTTCTATTTGTGGCCCACCCCTCCAATCGCCCGCCCGTCTGCCTGTTTTTCTATTCGCGGCCCACATCTCCAATCGCCCGCCCGTCCGCCCATTTTTCTATTCGTGGCCCACCCCTCCAATCGCCAGCCCACCCGTTGGTACCGGAAGCCCAGAATAGCCCGCCCTCCTGCCCACCGGTTCGTGAGTCGGTGTTCTACATGAATTCCGTGCTTGGTGCTTTGCGGATTGCGTCTTGAATTTGGTGTGCTATGTGCTTGGTACTTCCTGTGAAGCATTGTGGATTCTGTGCTTCATGCTTCGTGCTTCGTCCTTGCTACTTCGTGGATTCGGCGCTTGGAGCATCGTGAATTCGGTGCTTGAGGCACCGTGGGTTCGTGGTGAACTGGGTGCGTGGTGCCTTTTCATGGTTTGTGAATCATTGGTCCATGCGGCTTGGTGCTCCGCGCTCCGTGCTTAATCCTTTGGTGCTTCGTACTTGTGAGTTGGTGCTTTCGTGAATCGGTGCTGCTTGGATCGGTGGTTCGCCTGTGGATCGTGAGTTCCTGCTAAATGCGCCAATGTGAGCTTCGTCGTGGATCTCTGCTAGAGTGAGTGTTTCTACTTCACCTCGAACCCACACCCCCAACCCCTTTTGGAAAAACCATTAAAAAAGCCTTGCATTCCTTCTCTTTTTTGGGGAGGAGGTAGATAATGCGGGGATGGGGGTCA